GGCCACAGCACTTTCGAGCATCGCTGTCACAGCATCGGGGGTTTTCGCGTACTCCGCGTAGGCAACGTGGGCATTGTACCGCAGATAATCGCGGCGAAGCCGTTCCGCGCGCCACGCGGGCAGGCTAAAGATTTTGTCCAGCGGCGTGTGTTGATGCAGGCACTGCACAAAGCACTGCCCGTGCGCGCGCTGCGAGCCGGTGGATTTTTGGGTCTCGAATGTCAGGTACGCTGCGTCCATGCGACCAAAGACGCCACCGCTGCACGTAGCGCTGCTGCCAAAAACGTCCTGGCAAGGTTGCATAGGCTCGCACACGTTGCAGCGGGGACACGCTGCGCATGTGTGTAGCCCAAACAAGTGCCGGAGAGTGAGTTGCACTAGAACCCGAAAGCCGTCAACGCACGCCAGCGGGTCGCGCGCCAAAACCGCCCGTCGCCGGTCCCAACCAGGTAGCTGACGGCGCAGGGTCTCCACATCCACTGGCACGCACGCGTCAAGAGGCGGCCACTCCCGACTGCCCGCGTCGCAGTCTTTGTGGAGAGGCGTGATGCGGACCTGATCTGTTTCTCGCACGCGGGCCATGCGCACGTACAACAGCTGATGCGCCTCGTCGGGCGAGAACGTCACAAAGAGTGGAACTCCGTAACGAATGCGCATGGCCTGAATCTCGAAACGCATGATGCGACGCGCGTCTTGTGTGCCGGGGAGGATCCGTGTCGCATGCTGCAGGTTGCGAAGCAGCTTGCGCGCTGCCGGGCCGAGACCGGGCACAAAGGCGAGCTTGCTCACTTCCGGGCAACCTAACAGCTCCAAAGCCTGTCCGGACAAATGGACTCGGAGCGTCCACGCGTCTAACTCCTGCAGCATTTGCGCTTGCACATGCCTCGTGTGCTGCGCCACGAACTTCTCGCAGTACTCAGCCTTGCCAAAAATTCTTGCCGCTTCACTTTCCGTGCAGTTCAAGACTTTATTTTCTCTCAGTATTCGGCGCCAGCGAATCTGATTTTGTGTCACTGCTGGGTTGTACGGGTAGCGCCGCGCGCATACAAGGCAAACCAGCTCCGCCATCTCTGCGCTGTCCATGGCAGCGCGGTAATGCCGCAAGGCTCGTCTGTCCAGGGAGACATGCGCTAGCGGCGCTTCGCTTTGGCACTTGTGACTCAGCGCCAGACGATAGGCTGCCATGAAACCTGCCGGGTCTTGCGCACATGGCGGCACTCGCGCCGCTAGCGTTGCTAGCGCGGCTCGATGCTCGACACAGAGATGCTCCAGCAGCTTCTCCGTCGATTCGGCTTCGAAGCTGCATGTTGCGAACGCGCAATGCACGTCCGGCAGGTCCATGGCGTGCGTGCTGTCTTCAAGAAGCCACTGGAACCGACTCGGCAGGGTCGGTCGTGCGCTCAGTTGCTCGGCAAGAGTTGCTGCTAGTGATTCCCTCTCGGCGCGCGGATCCCCACTCTCCGCCGCTGGCACACCCGACGTAAAAGTAGTCCGCACTCGCTGCAGCCATCGCGGCAGCATGTTGGCCTGCTCTTCTTAAGTCATCTGCTCTCTGCGGATCCGGCTGCTTGCCACGCAGCCGTCGACGTTTCGCAGGCGTGTGCGTGGTAGGAGCAGGTCGCTTTCCTGCAAGGCCTGCCGCTTCCGTCGCGGACGCAGCTGGAGCTCGCAGCTGGACACTACTGGGCTTGCACGAGTCTAGAGGCGCTTTTGCATCTGCAGCTCTTGTGTTGCGGACTGCGTTGTCCGACGCGGCACCTAACCTGCGTGGAGTGTTGCTGGTTTGCAGCCGGTAGTATCCTCGCCACTCCGCCGCGAGTCGACGCGCGTTGCGCATGCCTGCGTCGGCGTAGCTTAAGCCTGCCTGTACCTTCGTGTGGAGGCACACTGCTAGGTCGTCGGCTTGGCTCCAGACAGCGGCTACGTCGGCAGCATCTGGGCGAGAGATGGTGATCGCGGAAGAGCTGCGCTGACGAAGAAAGGCCTGCAGAACAGGCGCAATGTCTTCTACCGAGGGCACCGGCTCCGTCCCGACACATCTCTCGTGCGTGTTCGCGTATCCACAAGCGCGCCAATGCGTCTGTCTCTTCTTGCCCCGACTTCTTCGCGTACGTAGTCTTCCAGAAGTTCTGCAAATTTGGCGGCAACCTGCCTCGCATTCCTGCCTAAGCGGTGTACCTGCACAGCCTCCGAGGCTGCCACGCGCACGTCCACGCCTGTGTTCGCTTTCAAGAAGTTGTCCAGGCGCGCCGCGCTACTTTCGCCTGGTCGCGAACTCACGCGGTCCTCCAGCTCTTGCGCTGGCAAATCCGTCCACCAAAACGGCCTCTGCCCGCTCTCCGCTGCTCTGCTTGACGCCGACTCCTCGCGGCTGAAACCTGGACGCGCGACCGCGTCACCTGCCCGCGCTTGCTCCGTACGCAAGTCAGCTGCCGTCTTTTCCTTCAATCGTTCCGCCCCCTGCAGTGATACCAGCGCGTCGAAGTGAAGGGCGCGCAGGTTTGCAGCAGTGTGATTTTACAAGCGAAGCAGAGTGGGTGCCTCTGCTGCTTCCCTTGAGCCTCTGATGAATATGCCGTGTTCTTCTGGATTGACGTCCTCTGAATCGAAACGTGTGTAGACGCGAATCTCAAAATGGGGCCGCGCTCGGCTCGCTGGGTTCAACAATTCGGTACAACTCTGGCACTGCAAGGGGACCGTGCTCCTGCGCATCTAGAAAAGGGAACACGCCGCTGTGCGGTGCTGCATCCTCCGCGCCGGCTGCAGCCAAGTCTCGTCGACAGGCCGCGCACAGTCTGGCGCGACTCGGCGTGTCAATGCAGACGCCCGGTTCGACGTGTCCTTCTGCCGCTAACGTTAGCAGCAAGGCATCCAGCAAACAGTTGTTTGCGTTGTGAGGGCTTGCCACTTGCAATCCCCAACCTTGGTTGCTGAGAACAGCTATTCTCTCCTTGTCTTCTGGGAATGCAGTTGGGATGTTACTGTTAAACATATTCACAAAAAGAAGCGCCAACGACTCGTATTCTTTTTCGGTAGTGTGCGCTTGCAGTTGTTCTAGCAGACACCAGTCCTGCGCCCACTCGCTCTCTAGCGCCGCGTCCACCGCTTCGCGTGTCCCTAGATGCGAGGGCAACAGGGCGCGCCAAAGGTCTTGCTGCGTTGAAGTAAGCAATGTGCAGAAGACGTCTGTCTTAGGCGCTGGTGCATGTTCGCCGCCTCCGGCATAGATGTGGGCCGGCACGAGCTTTCCTCTGCTACTCAAGCCGCCTGCGTGGCATCGAGCCGCTGACCTGCCTTTGCCGCGCGCTCGTGCAGCGAGCCCTCTCGACAGAACTTGCGCCGGTCCGAACAAGTTCGGGGACGTCAACAATCTGGCGCGCGGGATCTTCTGCCAACCCCGTCTGATCGCGAGCCTGCTTGGGCTTTGCCGTGACCTCGCCAGAAGGAGGCGCCGACGCACTCCCTGCGCGCTCTCTTGTTGCGGGCGCTTCTTGCGCTCCGAGAACGCCGTGCCGTTGTCCTGGCCTGTCTCCCATGTCAGATGCACAGGGTGTTTTTGGCACACCCGCAAAGCCTTGAGCTGGTTTTGGCCCATCTCGAAAGCCTGGGAATGTTTCTGGCACATTCCGGAAGCCTGGGGAAGATGCCGGGGTGCAGTACTGCCTTTTCCGCTGCCAGGACCAACGCCGCATGGAAGTTCCCTCCTTCCTCCGCCCGGGAGTGAGGAGCCTGCCCAGGTACCAGCGACGCGGTAGCCAGACAACGGGAGCCAGCCTTGCTGTCGCACGACCCCCGTTCTGCCTGCCATCTATGGCACACAGACCTCGGCGCAACGAACGGCACAAAATCAGCAAGAGCTTCAAGCCCCCGACTTGGCCGCGGCTGCTGTGTGCGCGAGGGGCCGATCACCACCGTGGATTGCTGCAGCCAATATTGCTCTGCAAGCCGGAGTCTTCACTGCTATCGCCCTCGCCCTCTACTGCAAGAAACACTTGCGCGCCAGCAGGCAAGCGTGCGCGCGCGCGCGCGCCACAACTGCTCTGCCCCGGGCCCGACTTGCAGCGGTAGGTTGCAAAAAGTTCTGGGGGCTTTGGCTTCTCGTTCGCAGCACTTGCTCCGAGCTGCTGCGCGGCTCCCTGCCTGCACAGGAGCGGGCGCTGAGTGTCTCACTCCAGCTTGGTCTTCCGCAGCCGGTCCGTCTCAGGTCTCCCGCACAACTTTCCCAGCGCCGCCCTCACCTTTTTCGCGGGGGGCCTGCCAGCCCCCCTTGGCACAAGCACCGCCCAGCGCACCGCGCCAGTCGCTTCCACGTGGTACACTTCCACAGCTGCCGCTCACAAATCTGCAGCTCCAGCCTCCATCACAACTTCTCAGTACAAGTGTCGTGTGCGCGAAGTACACCTTCAGAGCGACGACTCGCCTGTCGCCGTGTCCTGACTACGCCCCAGTCTAACTAAGCTGCAACTACATCGGTAGCATGAGGTAGCATGGGTAGCTGCTTGCTCAGCGCGGATTGCTTTGTTGACAGTGGCTCACAACATCCGCCCGCTTTGACATGGGACCGCCCCTTTCCGTGGCACACACCCTCCCTTCACTTTGCTGGTGGACCGCCACGTGTTCAGGGACACACACCTCACGGAGCCCGCCGCGCTTGTCACAGCGCCTCCCCACAACCCAGCGCTTGTTACAGCGCCCCCCTCCCCCTCACTCTCACAGCAACGGCATGTGTGGCGCTGCGAGGGGCAACGTGAGTCTCAATGATCGGTCCTTCTGTCTCGACGACTGCGCGTTTGCCGCGGCTGCCGTCACGAAAGCTTTCGCCTGCGGAGAGCGACGAGAGTGACAAGAGTGCTGAGAAGACAAAGCTGAACGCGCGCCTCCTGCAGCTCTCGCTTGAGGTGGGCGATCTCCAGCTTTTGCTGGCCCTGTTTCATGCATACCGGACATGACAACACGTGCTGCGTTCAGGCTCCAGCGAGCTGGGCTGTGTACCTTGCCACGTCCTCGCGGAGGCCTCTGTTCGCGTTCTGCGCTATGGCCTGGCTCTGCACGACGACTGCAAGAATTGACTCCTGACCGACAAAACGGGGTGGCTTCACCAGCGCTGCCACCTGGTTCTGGTACTTCGCCTCGGCCTCCTGGAGCGCTAGAACTTGGAAACAAGGCCTCTCGAACTGCAATGAAAGACACCCGCCTGGGCCTTGCGCCCCCACCGGAGCAGCTGCTTCTTCGTGTTCTCGTGCTGCTGTTGCTCATCCTGACTGCGAAGCTAGTGAGTCAACAGACCTAAGAAGGAATCCATGAGGGAGCCTTCAGATCCTCTTGGGCGATGCGCAGGCCGTTGCCCACCTCGAGCAGCTTGCGCCCTTAGCCTCTGACTGCAGCGGTGACCGAATCCTGAGTCCGGGAACTGTCAGAGGCTGCATTAAGGGGCAAGGTCCTGGCCAGCTCCTTCTTCAGATCGTCGGCTGCGGCAGCCTCGCATCATGAACAAGCACTCACTATGCAAAGAAACAACGCTTTGAGGTCGGCGCCTGCTTTTGCGTCTCCTCCTTGACGTGAACTAGCTCCTGCTCCTGGGGTCGGAGCTGCTTGCAAGCGCGCTGCTCAAATCAAAGAGACGGGCGCAAGAGACTGCTGAGTGTGGCACTGCCGCCGCCTTCTCAGCGACTGCGACATCGCGCTGCTGTCTGATTCCCGCCAGGCGCCCTTCCTGACTGAGGGGAGGTCGGCGGGCTGAAGCTCTCTGCAAGGAAGCTGCTGAGCGCTGCGCGCACTCGGCCTGCTCTGCGTGCGCCCAGTCGCGCTCGTACAGCATGCGCGCCGAGGTCGCCTCCTAAACGAGCCGCGCACTGGTGCGCAACATGAGCCGCTTGCAAAAGCAAATGAGCGCGGCACAGCGTCGGTCTTCTCCCGGCTTAGCTGCTGCAGCTCTCGCACCTCGGTCTGTCGATGTCAGGCCAAAACCGCTGACGACCTTGCGAGGTCCGCGCGTGCGCGGCCACCTCACTCCTCAGGTCGGCCAGCGCCCGCTGCCGCTTGCCTTGCGAGGCGGTGCGGCTGCTGTAGTGTTTTCCCTGGCCTTTCGGCGGCGGGGTCCACTCCTGAGCAGAGACCGGCGTCGTGCGCCCACATCAAAAACGCGAGGGGAGAGCCTTCCAAGAAGCTTCACCACCCGGTTGCTGACCCTGCCATGCTCGTGCAAACTCTCAGACTCCACAAGGGAAGAGGGGGGCGCGGCCTCACGATCATCTCGCTGCCGCCACCCCTAACAAGGGAACTAGCGAAGGCGCAGTCAAGCGCGCCGAAGAGCGCGCCTCTTCCTTTCTCCACGAGGCTCCTGAGTTGGTGCCTCTGTGGAGTACGGCAAGCGCCGCACGCGCAAGTCTCTCCAGTGCGCGCCTTGCCGCTGTTGCTCCTGCACCCAGCCCTACAAGTTAGCGAGGATTTTCCGTCGCGCTGTCAATCGAACAAAGAACGGCCTGGTGATCCTCCCACCGCCAATGCTCCTCGGGAGAGCTTGCAAAGAAGCTGTCACAGAATACTCCCCAAGGGAGCGCGCCTCTTCCTCGTCAGCCATGCCTGCGTGCAGCCTCAGCCGAGCAGAACGCTCCGCCATGAGGTACGCACACACGCACTCACGCACCGTCGCTCGCGCCGCCCTAACTTGTGCTTGTGACAGCACCGCTTGCACCCCTCTGCTTCTGGCAGCATCGCCCCTGGTGTCCAGCGCTTGTCCCAGCGCCTTCTATCCCCTCTGCTTCTTGCAGCGCCCGCGCTTGTTACAGCGCCTGCGGACAGGGTCGGCGGCACAGGGCGGCAGCCCTTGAATATTATTTTTACCACTTGGATTATATTTGGGAAAAAACGTCCATCTAACTTCTTGTGTTGTAGATTAGTTGGAGTTTAGCCGAACATATATATTTACATTTTCATGTAGCTGCTATTTGGAAAGGATTTGCTTGTTTAAGCTGCAATTGAACATAAACACATTTTTGAAAACTATATCCATACTAAACTATATTCAAAATTCCAATTCTAGTTGAAGTAACATCTTATTTGGAAAGGGTATCATACTGGGACATTGTGGAGGACTCCGGGCTCCAAATTATCACGCTTTGGGGACCCACAATTGGAAATTTTGAGAATAGGCATTTGGAAATTCTAGATTTGCTGTCCCCAAAAGACAGTAAAACCAGGGTCCATGGGGGGGGGGGGGGGTGCATATATATATATATATATGCATATGATACATATATATATATATATATTAATATGTGTATATATATATATATATGTATTAAATATGTATGTGTATATATATATATATATGTACACACATACATAATAAAACCTTCTGGTGCTTTCCTCCGCGTTGCGAGGCATACACAAATCACCCCCAGGCAGAAGGGCAGAAGGCCCAGCACCAGCAGATGCTTGCGCTGCAGGCACCCGGTACGCCGCAGGATGGACCACATCAAGACCATGTAGACCAAGAAGGCCAGGGCGTAACCTCGAAAACTTGGCCCAATGCTCAGGCTGTTCTACCAAAAGGGCGGTTTGGTGGTTCGGTGGTTCAGTGCTTCGGTGGTTTGGAGTGGTGGTTTCCATTTACCCTCTACAAGGGGTTCAAATCCGAATCCACGCCAGCAAGCCGCCAATTAGGGGTAACCCGAAATGAGTAGAAAACTTGATGTTCATATGTCCACTGGGTACGGAAGCAACAAAAAATGACCTCAGGGGGCCAACTCGATTCCCCGATCTTTTGGGACCTGTACTAGAGTGGCGATCGTTTCAATGGGACCCACCTGGACATTGCAACTTTGGACACGGAAATCCGACCTCTGAACCTCAGCACCAAAAGTTTGGTGCGGGGGAAAACTCGAGTTAGAGTAGAAAACTTGATGTTCAGAAATTATGGCTCAGAATTGGTCAATTTGGTCCGCCTTGTAGTTCAAAATACGTATGTTCTGAGGATGTAACCTCAGCCTCCCTGTAGTTGGAGCTTTGGATTGGTGCTTTGGCGGTGTTCCGGGGGAGGTTTCCCATATACCCTCTACAAGAGCCAGGAGTTCAAATCCCCAAACAGAACAACCCAGCACCATAAGAATGTCGGCCAACAACTGGCCGTTGTCGTGCCGCTGTCTTTTTTGGAGCCAGATTGAAACCTCAGCACAATTTGATGTGACACCCAAATGGCCAGTTTTACTTTTTGGCGGAGTAACCTCGAGGGGGTCCGACTTTGCCTTCAACCAAAGACCGGGCCTCAGTCGGCAGATGACTGGAGTACAGTCTGTACCACTACAAGGGTTTCAGCCTTGGTGGCAAACTTTCTCGCGGTGGGGTGTGCGTTCGGTGCCTCAAACAAAGTGGCATCCATACGAAAATGATGCACATTTACCCTGAGGTTCCACAAAAAGGGAGAAAGGCCAGGCAAAGGCTCACAGAGAGCCCCCTTCACCCCCGCCCATTGTTTTCTCGTAACACTCCAGATTGATTGGTTTCTTCATTTAATTGACTATTTCTAGGCTACTTGGCCATCACATAGCCATAACCAACGGCCTCAAGGTCTCAAGTTGGGTGGGCAAACTGAATGCGGGACCCGTTGGGTCATGCCATGAAACTTCGCGAATTTGGGTTTCTGAAAGTTGACACTCTGAACGTGGGACCCGTTCTCGAAATCCACTTTTAATATGTGGTGTTTCCCAACAAACCACAATTTCGCACCCGTCATGTTGAGGATATCTTGCCATGGGCCCAGATTTGCCCAATAGTCGGTACGGTTCCCCGCCCAAAAAGATCAAAGCGGCTCCTGAGATCAACGGCTGGCCATACCAAACCCGGGGCCTCACAAAAGAGCAACAGCGACTAAAATATGAACCACAATTGGTGTACCCATGGGAAAGCCCAGCTGGTCACGACGCGTAATGCTCAAAGGCAACTTGAGAAGACCCGGAAATCGGTCAAGGGATCCTGGCGGGGTCCAGGGACCTCAGATGCATCGCGCCCAAATGGCCACCCGAATGGGCAAAAAACCCGCTGGCCGCCCACAGGAGCCATGGTCAAAACTCCTTTGGACGTGGGTGGTCATGGTTCCCTCAACAACAATCACTGCATTTGTTGTCTAACTTCTCTGTAAAGGAGTCGAATAACCACAGCGATTTTGACCAAGGGAACCAAAAACCAAGGTGAAAAAGGAGTCGCCCTCCACGTACCCAAATGGCCCCCATCTTCCCTTGCCTGAGTCAAAGGGACGCCAGAAATCAATCTGATTTGTCCAATCTCTTATTCGACAGGCCCTGAGCTTCCCCCCTGGCCAAGAGAAGCCTAGGGCGAAGTAGGTGCGCAGAAGGCCCATAGAGTAGGACAAAATGGTGACGCTCCCTCAGTGGATCGAATTGGATCGAACTGTCCTCGTGCGGCATCAGTATTGCCTCTTCCAACAAAGAAACGCCCCAGCAAAACCTCACCGGAAGAAAAAAACAAAAAAAGGCGGCCGAAAGGTGATGTTGCAGCCACGAGAAAGGGACGTATCGGAACCCTTGTGGATTGAAGGAGACTGAGGAACTGTAGAGAGAACCCATTTCATTAAAGCCCTATTTGATAAATATGAATTGGACTGAAACCATCACTGAAACCATCAGTTTTCAGTTGGAGCTCCCCATATGTCCAATACTGACTTAGAGCCACAACAAGGGGAGGTATGGCAGGGTTACAGGGTGTGTCCCAATTCAGAGGAATCTCTCACTTTTGAGGAAACACCCCACGAGGTTGACTATTCGACATGTTCCCAGTTTTGTGGTTCGCACTCAAGTCCAACTGAAAGATCCGTCAGTTACCATGTGTTTGGTTGAGACCTGTAGTTTTTGCTCTTGCGACCCAGTTGCAAAACCACATCTAACCATAACACCCTGGCAAACGGCCGCTTTTCCTACATGGTTTCCAACTTGTTCCCTGCTCACAATATTTCAGGCATCCACTGCATCTGGCCAAAATGCCACCTTCAGCTTTGCCTTGCCGAAACCCTACGAATACTTGGATAAACCACCTACCGGCTGCTTCAGGAATTTGTCCATCCACAAGGGCAAAAGACTTGGCTCCCTCTTATGAGCTTTCCATCAGCCCCACGTGACATATGTTGGAAGCCTCCCCCCGGCGATTCTTGGCAATCCAACTTAAACCTTGTGCATGTTGTTGGGTTTGTCTCAAAATACGGGGAGCCCTCAAATGGCTTCCTTTCAACCAACCCCAAAAAGGTACCCCCAAACAGGCACAAGCGGAGAATCTGTTGCCCCTGCCCAAGGTTCCATACTTGGCTCCGTGGGGGTGGGGTGGAAGGGAACCAGCGGTAGAACCCCGCTCCCTGCCTTGCAGAGCTGTGCCCAGAAGCGTGATCCGCACCATGACCCAGAGCCATTCCTTCGTGGAACATTGCGGGTGTCCACCCGGGAAATGCCCCATCAGACAACATGGCATTCATTTCTGTTTCCAGGCAACAAACATGTCTGCTTCCAACCTCAAGCTTGATATCTCGTGCCTATCTAGGCTCATTTTGCGGGCGTAGTCCCAAGATGTAACACAAAAGCCCTTAATAGGTCAAATGTCCGTGCCCTTGGCCAAGGAAAAACCTTCTTCGAAGGGACAAAACCTTGGCAACCAAAAGACGGCCATCATTTTCTGCGGGACGCACAACCGCAAAAATGCCATTGTGTCAAAACTAAGGATGCCACTTCAGCCTCTTTGCCGTTGTCGTTTGGAGCGGTCAGTTTTGACGAATTGCCAAGTTACACATGACAGAGTTTGCTTCAACGTCCACTTTGTGATCATCAAATCAGCCGTCCAAGGAATGTTCCTTCGAAGGGTGGATCTCATGCCTTGAAAGGATGTTCTTTGGTTTCACCTGGGGGATCCTCAAAAGACACAGCTTCTGCTGAAATCTGACCCTGGTCAAGCAACCTGAAACAAACCCTGAAAAATGAAGGACCAACTCTTTGCTTATTCTACACCCTCAGGCCACCCTAAGCCTGCCTGCAACCCGCTCGCTTTCGCCCACAGGGTAAACACTCAGGGCGATTCCAGACTCGCAGCTGTGTTTCGGGCAAGCTTCCCCACTGGACAAACAAGAAAAGCTTGAAGCTCAGTTTGGACAACTCTGACTTGAAGCCGGTTTGGATATCTCGGATCTAAACCTTTGATGTGTAGGGTACCTGCAAGATCAATTATCTCTTGAAGGGAGCCCCGTGTCAGTTGCGATGTTAGGGGAAACACACAAAATTACGTGCCAAAACAAGACAGAGAACAAGCGTGTGTGTGTGTGTGTGTGATCGCTGCATCACTTTGGAGCAGGGCTACCAATCGAGGCCCGCTGGCTTTGGTGGGAAATGTCGGTCCCCCCCGCCCCCCCGGCCCTGTATCCTCCTCAAACTAGCTATGCACCGGTCAAAAGTTGCTGAAGTAAACCAGGTAGGAACCGAACCACCCATCACATGCCATCGGTTTTTGGGCGCTGCTCAAATGTACCGATGTAGGCACGCCACGGCTGGCCACTGTTCAGAGCATGTTGTCACATGCACGAAGCGCCAAAAGCCAAAAGGGTGCTGCTCAAAACTGAAACTTCTTTTGCCGAGTGTCTCTCTGAGCCCGGCTGGTGGTCCACCTGATTGCGGCGTCCACCCTGCCAGGAGTCGCAGGCGAGTAAAACCCCCGTTTGGGTCTTCCAACCATCTGGGGGTTGATCCAAAGGTCCGTGATTCTTGAGATGACCATTGGGGGAAACCACCAAAAAGACGATATTTCCCCAAATCCGAAAAGTTGCCCATGGTCAAACTGGGGCCTTAGTGACCAGGTTATAACCAAGGTTCGAAGTGGGGTAACGGGATTAGTCCCCAGCAAAAACCATGGTTGTAACCTACTAGCTCGAACCCGCAAGAAGGCATGGTTCCGTAAACTGCCCGCTCAAAATAGGGAAGTAAAACCGGTCTGCAAAGTCATGCTTGAACTGGTACCAAACGGACATTTGCGGAACCCTGTCAAACATCAGCTCATTTAGCCTTGCTGTTAGCAACTGGGTTGCTTGGACCAAAACAGGTAAGCGTCAATTCCGTTGGGCTTGGCAGGGCAACTGGTGGCCTGGACCTGAACATGGCAATGCAAAGGCTGGGTTGCTTCAACATCAAATCTGCTCGATTCCCCATAACCATGTCAACACCGTGGCGAGAGTGGTTGGAAGCTCAACATGTCGATCAAGCCACGGAAAACTCAACTCCGTTCAGTTGTTCATGGCGACTTGGGTTGAAACCTGGTCATGGCGGGAATAGTGGGGCCCCGCGAGACCTGGCTGTACCTCTGAACGTTTCCGAGTCGCCAGCTCCTCATGCGGAAATCAGCTAACGATGGCGTAACTTAGACTTCATCGAAAAGTCTACATTCTCCTCATTGGATGGTCCCCCGCCAATATGTTGGCCTGTGAAGCTCTGTTGCCACTTCGAGAGTTTGAGAGTTTTTGTCAGGGCCCACCCGGCCGGAATTTAGGTCTCTGATGCACCTGGATCTACTACAGCTAATTGTGAGGGAGTCCCGAAGTGTAGAACACTGCAACTCATTCTCTTGTTGTAAATGTAGGCGTGTGTGTGTGTGGGTTCTGTAAAGCAGTGCAAGCGAGCAAGCGCGCTTTTGCACAGGTCAAATGATGTTCCATACACAAATACTACTGACACCAGAATGCATGAGCGTTCGGTACGGTGCATTTGTATTTGTGTGTGTGTGCGCAACTGTGACGCGAGTTGACTTTGCGTGGCAAGTTATTATGTCCGAAAATATTGCCCACCCGCCCCAAACCCCCCAAATGCCTAAAAGCTCATGGTCGCTATTCGTGCCGTGGGCACATGTTTTGTTCAAACATCAACCCATGGCAACTGGTAGCTCACACCCAACCCGGCACTTACACACCAATTCCCTTCCGTTTTCCATGGCCGCTGGCGCTTTGGGCCTTCGCGTGGCAATAGGCCCATGTGTGTTGAAACATCGTGTTCGGGCAATTGGCTGTTTAAACCTAAACATGACAAACATGGGTCTTTGCTGCGATTGTTTTGACATCAACTCCTTTTGGCTGTCTGTTTAAGGGTGTCCATGGAGGTAGCGCCCGGAACCCTTCGATGCTTGGTGCTTGCACACAGGATGTGCATATATACATATACATATATATATATATATATGTGCATGTGTGTATATATATATATATGTATACACTTATATTTACTTTTCATATTATATATACACATGCATGCCAATACAGTTTTTGGAAATATGCAGTGGCTTATGTGCTTGATCATAATAACAACCGGGACAGGAACAGGCTTTCCTAAAGAAGCCCGCTTGCTTGGCTTTGGGTGGCAACTGGTCTACAACCTGAGCCTAGAATCCCCCACTACTGCCAAAGGGGTTTGTCTTTGAATAGTGGAACCGGTTCCCAACCGGTGGTCTCCTTTGGGCTCCCTTCAAATGCAACCCAAACCACTCCCGTCTTCATTCGCCTTGGGAAGGGCATGGCCGTTGGTCCTCCGCGAGCACTAAGTTGTCTTCCATGTCAGTCGCCTTTTGCCCCCAAAAAAAACATCGGGCCCATATGTTGCCAGCCTTGTAATTTCAGCACCTGGTTTAAGAAAGTGTTTTACAACCATTCTTGGTGAGTAGGTCATACCCATGGGGTAAGCCCTTATAAACACGGTTCTAACCCGCTCGTTGAGTGGTTTGAGCACCCAAGCACTTAGCCCGCGCCTGCGGTAGCCCACCTCCGCGGCAAGGGCCCGGGGATGCTCGCCGCCCTCGGCTGCGAAGATGTCGCGGACCATGTTATTGGTCACGGAGCTGGACCTCGAGATCAATTTCGATGCCACAAGAAAATAAGGCAGGGGGGTTGGGGGGGTTGGGGGGGGGGTTGGGGGGTTGGGGGGTTGGGGGGTTGGGGGGGGTTGGGGGTTTGGGGGTTGGGGGGTTGGGGGTTGGGGGGTTGGGGGGGGTTGGGGTGGGGGGGGTTGGGGGGGGTTGGTTGGGGGGGGTTGGGGGGGTTGGGGGGGGTTGGGGGGGGGGGTTGGGGGTTGGTCTGGGAATTTGGTCTGGAAAGGTGTGGATTGGTGGACGATTTATTTAGTGGGTGGTTTGTTTGGAGTGGGTCTGTGCACCTCGCCAAAGAACCTGAAAAGCTGGGCCAATTCTGTGCCATCCTCAACATGACAGGCGTCGAAATTGTAGTTTCAGGGGGGGGGGCGAACCCTACCCAAAATTATGTTGAGAGCGCCTTCGGTGGTTTGGATTTGTGGCTTGAAGGTTTGAATTGAGACCTCCGGGCGCGGACTTTGACAATCCGTTTTGGCGCGCTTGTGGCCGGCTCTAGCTGTGCGAGCTGGTTCCATGAGCATTATGGCTGGGGGGCAGCAGAAACCAAGCATTGCACAGACCTTCGCGCGGTAGTGCTGTTTGCTAGGTGTCAGCTGGCCAACTGTGCCATGGATACAGATGTTTAGCATGTTCCCAGAATTTCAGCCCTTGTCAACAAATGGTCAGGAAACATGTGATCTTTTTGCTGGTCTTCTGTCTGCACGTGATCCAACAAAGGCTGCATCATGAGCATCATCTGGGCTGATTTGGGGGAAAGCTGTGGTCAGCTGGTTCAGGGACTGCATCCCGAGCATCATCTGGGCTGGCTGGGGCAATCAGCTGGTTCAGGGTCTGCATCATGAGCATCATCTGGGCTGGTTGGGGGGTAGCTGTGGCAATCAACTGGTTCAGGGTCTGCATTGTGAGCATCATCTGGGCTGGTTGGGGGGGTAGCTGTGGCAATCAGCTGGTTCAGGGTCTGCATCATGAGCATCATCTGGGCTGGTTGGAGGGTAGCTGTGGCAATCAGCTGGTTCAGGATCTGCATTGTGAGCATCATCTGGGCTGGTTGGGGGGGTAGCTGTGGCAATCAACTGGTTCAGGGTCTGCATTGTGAGCATCATCTGGGCTGGTTGGGGGGGTAGCTGTGGCAATCAGCTGGTTCAGGGTCTGCATTGTGAGCATCATCTGGGCTGGTTGGGGGGATAGCTGTGGCTATCAACTGGTTCAGGGTCTGCATTGTGAGCATCATCTGGGCTGGTTGGGGGGTAGCTGTGGGCAATCAACTGGTTCAGGGTCTGCATTGTGAGCATCATCTGGGCTGGTTGGGGGGGTAGCTGTGGCAATCAACTGGTTCAGGGTCTGCATTGTGAGCATCATCTGGGCTGGTTGGGGGGGTAGCTGTGGCAATCAGCTGGTTCAGGGTCTGCATCATGAGCATCATCTGGGCTGGTTGGGGGGGTAGCTGTGGCAATCAGCTGGTTCAGGGTCTGCATCATGAGCATCATCTGGGCTGGTTGGGGGGTAGCTGTGGAAATCAGCTTGGTCAGGGGCTGCATCACTAGGTTGCATCCTGAGCATCATCTGGGTTAATTGAGGTGTTAGTTGCGGCAACCGGCTGGTTTGGGCGCTGCATCATGAGCTGCTGGTTGCGAGGGGGGCTGCATCATGAGCATTGGCCTAGCTGCTGAGGTTGCAGGTCCAGGGCTGCATCATGAGCATCATCTGGGCTGGTAGGGCGGTCACCCCACCCAAAGGAAACTTAACTTACAAGCCCTGAAATGTGTGACTCTTCCAAAAAAGGGGAAATCATAATTTCCCTGAGAGGAAAACAACCTGCTGCAGCGACAAAACTGGATGTTCATAGCCACTCAAATCAAGAATGATGCCTTTCAAAAAAGAGAGGCCCGCTGCTGGGTTGTGTCCAAGAAACCCAAAATGAGCCACAAACCATCAGGATCCATATCCCATCTTAGGAAACACCCACATGTGCTGGTTTGCCTTGTTCATTGGATTCGGAAGAACACTACCACGCAAATCAGTCAGCATCAAAGATATGGCTGCGTCCGAAAGTTTCATTCAAGGAGCCCTTTTGGAAAGGAAATGTGAGGATTCCCTTGCCATGTTTAGAAACAAACCAAACCCCCTTTTTTGGATGGTGTTTAAAAAACAAACGCCAGGAAGACCAACACATGTAAGGGATTGTAAAGGTCTCCAACAAACTCTGTCCGAAACACGAAGATCAACCCTGCGGCGACTTCTTGAAAGTTCGGGCTAATTACTTTATAAATCGGTTCCCACAACAAACCCCAGTAATTGCACTTGTAATCATGGTTATAGCTAACCTGACGGGGGAGAAAAAAAAAAAAAAAAAACTTCCAAGTTGAAACCTCTCTCTGGACATTCCAGGCCTCTTGTGCACGCATCTGGCGCCAAAGGCTTCAATCTCCCTGCGAATCCGCGCCTCACACAGCACCAACCCCCCCCACACAGATTCTCAACCGCCGCAGAACTGAAAACTGGGAACCCCTAAGCCCTGGACTCTTTTTCCGCCGGCATCTTGTTTATGACTTAGTGCCTCCAATCGAAGTGATGGGTCCAAAGAAGATGGGGGTGAAGTGACTGTGGGACAGCGTTAGTAATTCTTCAGCCCCTGCTACCAAAAAAAAAAAATAAGGCCTTCTCTTTGCCGGTCACGTTTATTGTTGGGGCAAAGGGGGCACTATGCGGCTGGCGTGCCTGCCCCAAATATAGACCCTTGCCCTTCGAGCATGCCACACATGTAGGAGTTCAGAGGAAAAGTTGGCTGGGGCGTTAAAGAACACACGACACACAAGCATGTCCTCAGCTTGGTTACCTACCCGCTTTCCAACAAACATGGAAGTCGAGCGGGCACCTTCTCCAAGAGGATGGTAGTCGTCAAAAGCCCTGTCCACTTCCATGATTGTTGGATGGGTGCATCCATGAAGGGAAGTAGAATACATGTCGGCGACATCAAGGATCTAGGCTGGTGCTTTCTAAAGCCAGGCTGGCGCTCTGTCATTCGTTCTCCATGGGTGTCTTACAAGACATCATCAGCCAACAAAGGAAAACACCTACGAAAGGAACCTGAACCACGAGGTTGCAAACCCAAAACCAACCTTAGATAGCGATTGAAATTGCCCAGAAATTTGGAAAATCGCACCCAATCTGGCCTTTTGGCTACTTTGTGCGGCGCAATAAAATACAGGGGCTCCCTAAGCGAAACCCCGTTCGGGATCAGAGTTGGGTTTAACAAATACAAAGCAACAAGACAGACTTGCAAAACAAACAAAAACGGACGTTGGCTTCCCTTACAGCCCAGGGAATTTCCCCAGAATCAAAAACACCCAAACCCCAACCACCCCCAGCAACGGTTTCGTTTCGATGCAACAAATCCGCGCAAATATTTCGCCTCATCCGCCGCGTCGGAGCATCTGGCCGTGCGGGCCGTGCACTTCCCGGCGGGGGCCAAGGTGTGGGCCAGAGATACGTAGACCTTCAGCTGGGAGGCCATGAAAATCTCCTGGCGAGCAGTCAACCCTTGAGGACCCCCCCACCTTGGAGGGATCTGCTTTTGGGGTCTTGGACCCCAATCCCCCCCCCTCTTAAGGGATCCGAATGAGTCTGCAGTGCTCAGGTCCAGGACGAATCGCGTGGCTGTAACCCTGCTTATAGTTCATTCGGGGGCTTGCAAGCAGTGGTTTGGTGGTTATAACCATGGTGACTATCCGCGCGACTCGTCCCAGAACCCAGGTTCATAAGCCAAGTTTCCCAAGATCGGGCAGGCCCACTACTGGTTTCCTTCCGGGGGGGAAACCACTTACAATCCAAACCATCGGCTGGATGGTTCACTTCGGGAGTAGTCCAATTCCCTCGAACCGAGCAATTCGAAGCGAGCCCATAACAATGTAGCCCCACGCGCGCTGGAAGCCCAAACCAAGCCAACGCACGACCAAACTGCTTGACTCAGCTTCCCACTTGGCAATTTGGGCCGGTTAGGAAACCACCAATCCAACCAACCAGGGGAACCTGATTCAAGGTTTGACCCCAGAAACCACCTACCCCAAGACCCCCAGAGCCCGTGGCCTTGGCCCAAGGCTGGGGTTATCTTTGGGATCTGCGGAATCTCGCTTTATGTATTGCCAAGCCACATAAACGCACCAAAGCCGCTGATAGAGATTGTCTTGGTAGTTCGGCACGGCTACCATACCTTGCTCAAACGATTCCCTTGATGTCATCACCACGTCATTTTGAGGGCGTTCTTTGCAGGATAGTTTTAAACCGCAAGGTTGCCAACTACTCTTCTAGAGGCCTCGCTCCCCAAAGTCCCTTCCCCCGGCCCAAACACTTACTTAGTGGAGTAGCTTGTCACCATGGCGAGGGGACCAACCCAGGCCAGATGGTGAGGTAACCACGCCAAATAGCAACGCCAAGAAATGTGCAGTAATCCCGCCGAACTGTAAGACAAGATCGGATTACTCCGTGTTCTGCTGGTCTCCCGTAGTCTTGGGCGCACAATTTTAGGCTTCCCGTGGTCTTCCGGGCACTGAATTTTACCGATTTTTACCGCGCCGGAAATCATTGAATTTTACCGAATTACCGTGCCAGGGTCCCCGCAGTCTTCCCGTAGTCTTCCCGCTGTCTTCCCATAGTCTGCCGTAGTCTGAATCTTGCCGAATTTTGCGGGGTAGTCTTCCCGAAGTCTTCTGGGCGCTGAATATTACCAATTGTTTATCGAATTTTAGAGTCTTCCCGTACGTAGTCCTCCAAACACTGAAGTTTACCGGTGTTTACTGCTTTTCGTAGAGGTTTGCTTCAATAGTCATGAACCAGTTCCCAGTCATATCATGTGAGGACTCGGATGTGACTTGTTGCATGGTGGTGTCTTTTCGGCTCTGCGTTTTGATTGAGCAGATCAGGGCTTCTTGCACGATTTTGTAAAGCCCCCGGAGCTCATTTGTCAGCAACACATTTCATGGACAAGACCCACAGTCTTTGGCCTTGCGTTGGCAATGTCTGCGCCGCGCGTTCTGAATGCGTCGACTCCTAGCACCTTCCATGAGGCTTGTAGGGTTTTCTGCTTGAGGGTAGTCTTTGGGTAGGCGAGCCCGAGATCACCAGCTTGGGTTCGCAGCGAGGGCGCACACCTGAGCCTTGACGGGTAACACTACGAGGTTGATGCTGAAATCAAATGGATCTGGTATGACACTGCAGCAACGAGCTCGTCATGTGGCGCCTGAGCGGCATCTATCAAAGAATCCTGCGCTGCGTGCACGCGCGCATGCACGGGCAAAGCAGCGCAGTTTTAGCCACAAGTTCAGCCATGTTACCCCAAATCCGGCGCTGTTACGCTAGCATTTTTTCGGCGGTGTTACCACGTAATCTCCAACCCAGGTGGTTTCTTTGGTACAACACATAAAAAAACACAAAAACTTATCAATACTTCACTCACAACAATGCGCCTACCCCTGGCGTTAGCAACGAGCATCCCCCACTGTCCCCCAGCCCCCCCCCCACTCGGCTTGCTGCCAAGGCGCGACCGTAGTACACCCGATGCTTCACGCAGTGCAGCCACAAAGAAATCCCGAAGCCCACCAGCGCGAAGCCCCAGACCGCCGAGAACGCAGGTTTGCACATAGGGTCCATGTCCTTCCGCACCTCATGTGCATTCCAGCCCATAATGTATTCATCAATTCATCGTTGTATGAATGCGCTTGTAGTATGTCCATTAATTACTAAATCATACTAATTCTTATACATACGCGTGTGTATGCATATAAAATGTATAATATGTATGACTCATTTGGTTGACCGCTGATAGAATTGATTTAAACCAAGAGGTGGATCATGTACTACGCTCTAACTCCCCCCACCCCCCACCCCCCACCCCGGTGCCCAAACTAACATTCGCTCTAAGAAATCCATTTCAATGTTCATCCTTGTCTTCACCGATCATCTGGGAGCATCTAAAAAAGATGGCGCCCGTTTGGATGGTCTTGCTATAAACTCACTTCCCAAGTGGATGGGCCAGAAAAAGTCAAAACTGTTGGTTTATCACTAAAATGGTCCCAAAAAGTTCAAAGTCCTGGACTCAGGAAGTGAGTAGAGGGAACCAAAAGAAAAAGAGGGTTTAATAAAAAAACACAGCCCCAAATGCAGGGGCTTTCGACCTCTCGAACCTATTCTGCCGAAGAGCCCAGTGGGTTGCCAGGCACGTGCCATGCCCGGCACTCCTCCAGCCCCCACACCTCTGGCCCTGCGCGTGCTCCTGGGACCAAAAAAAAACGCCAGTCTTGGTTGCTGTTGACCCCCCTGCAAAACATCTAACTTTTTGGGGGTTAAAGTCTAAAGATCCAACCCAATAGCAGTCAAGCAGTCGGGTGTCTCTGATCTTTTCTGGGACCCAAAAGCAGGATGCCTTCATCTTGCTTCCGCCAAAAATAATAACACGACCTTCCGACCATTTGGCAATGGCTCAAAAAAAATGGAACCCAAAATGGCATCTTGGTAAATGCAACCAAAGACTAAAACCTGGGTAACCCTGGCACTGAAAAATTCCGAGCCACACTCATGTGGGTGTCTCTCTTAAAGTAAAAGACCCAAAAACAAACGATGTGTTTCATCTTCCTTCCAGGCATCGGTATCAAAAGGGAAGCTTCTGACCTGCGTCTAAAGCACCTGGGTCATCATGCCCGCTGCGCTCTTGGATTCAGATCCCTTCAGACGGTCGACAAGCCAAGCAGCCCCGGAAAGAGTGAAAGCTACGGAAAGTGCGAGTCTGATAGACGAGGGGCCGTCAACAAGAACCGGCTTGAGCCGCAAGCCCGCCCTTTCAAAAAAATGGCAGAGGCCAGGTCTGTTTAAGAGCCAAAACGAAGCCCTTTCTCACGGCCGGGGTGCGGGTGTTTCTGAACGAAACCGCTGGCTCTTTTGGGTACCCGGGCGGTCCGGGCAAATCGCTAAGTGGTTAGTACCGTGGCTACACACCAGCAAACGCAAGGTTGCAAGTCCCTGTTCAGTGGGGTTTACCAGGGCTACCACTGAAAGCGATTCCTGGACCATCAAATGCCCCCCCGCCCTCTCATCCCTGAGTTCTGCATGCGAGGGGCCAGCTTGAATAAGCAGTCCATGCCCGGCACTCCCCCGCAGAGCAGCTGTGAGATCATAAAGATCTCAAGCGCCATCAGCAGGCACAAGCCTCTGTCCAACAAGCGTGAGCTTCTAGGGTGGCGGGTTACAATTTGAGCAAAACTCAGAGGGTGTGTGTGTGTGTGTGTTTCAGAGGCTTCTTTTTTGGGACAGCTTATGGGAAAACCAAGTGCTTCAGGGTTTCTGAAATATCCCCCATCCCAAAAAACTTAACCATCGGCAGCACAACTAGATCTTTGAACACCCAAAGAGTTGTTTTCGACCCAAATGTGCTTTGGCTGTTGCGCAAGAGAAGCATCGAAAAGCACCGGTGCTCACGTTGATGTTTATTGCTGCAACCGAAACATATTCTTGTATCCTACCTGCCGAGTTCACTGACAAGGTTCGAATTGTTTTGCCCTAGACCAAAAATGCGCTCCATGAGCCTTTTCAAGATGAGGTCATTACCCAAAAGAAAAGAGTCATGGCCCCATCTTTGAAGGCATGGCTCAAGGCAGAAACCTGCCGACAAAACGCAAGTCTGGGTACCGGGAAGATCTCTGATTGGGCACTCTCGATTCGAATGGTCGGTCGGTGAAGCTCCTTGGGGACCCGCAAATTGTGGTCTTCCCTGTGGTGTCCCTTTAAAATTATCCCAAAAGGGTGCCCTCCAAACATGACACACCCGTATGTGTGTGTGTGTGTGTATATATATATATAACGTACAGAATTGCAAGGACTGCCCTACCAATAAAAAGGAAGTCCAAACCCGAAACCCAAGAAGCAAACAAGCATGTCTGGGCGTTATCAAAGTCAAAGAAGGGGGGGGATCTCCCTTGAACTGAGCAGTTGATGGGGTACCTTCAATACTGGCCAAGAACGGGGTTCGTTTTTAGCATGCTTTGCGGGGCTTTGTTAAAATGAGTGTCCTTCTGGTGATGTGGTAAAACAGAATATGTTGGATCTCTGAGCGTTCAATTGGCAACCAGAAGGGCGGATGTGTACACCCACCAAAATGGGCGCGGCTCGATTCTTTGAGGCTCCCTACCACAAGGTGGTTTCAAGGGAAAACGAAAGCTTGTCCTTTTGGCTTCCCTTGAGACCAACCTTCACAAAGGTACCCCTTCGCGTCAAAACAACTGCACAGACCCCCGAGTTCTCGGAGTTTTCCGAGTTTTCGAGCCCGGGTCTGCAGCCAGCCCCCCCCAGCTCCCCGGCCTGGCAGAATGTGGAAGAACCTCCTGGGCCACCACCAGGTCCCCGCCTCGAGCCCCCGGTCCTCGCGAACAGAACGAGCGCGGGAGGGCGACCTGGGCCCTTCCCCCGCGCCTTTTTGGGCGCACGAATCTGTTTTTTGGGGGTCCGTTCCTCGAACATGGGGGCTATGACTTGTGAAATGGCTATGACTTTCAATTGGACCACGCTCGGGATTTGAGGGATGAAGGTCCACCGGCTGAAAGCTCATAGCCGGGCCCAGGGGCCGACCCGAAACCCCACGGAGCTCTGTGTTCCACGAAACTGATACATTTCGGTACAAAAAACCCTCATGGACCAGCTGATCTTCATGCCCTTGGAATTCAGGTGGCTTTTTGGATCCGGTGAGGAACCCCACCCCAACAAATATCTTCTTCAAATCAAAGTGGAACCAAATAGGGGGTTCGATTCCAAAAAGAATCTATAGACTAAAAGCATCATCTGCCGCCAGTAGATCACTATGAAAAAGCTCATCGAGGAAACTCACAAGTCAATCCATGGCCTATGGGACCCATCGATGTCTTCAAATCAGAAGCGAAGGCTCAAAGGATGAGTCTAACCTTGCCCCTTCGATCCAAGAGGAAACTCCTTTTGGGACATGGAGGATTCCATGTCAGCTTGTAGGGGAGGAATTGCTGGCTTGACTTGCTGGAGGTTGGGGGCTCTGCCATGCAAATTCCAAAGGCTCAACTCGCCAAACCAATCCAAACCATCAAGGTAACCGGAACATTCAGCGATCCAGCGGTTTGGATTAGTTCGCAGCTTTCCGGAGGGGGGGGGGGGGGTTGGCAAAACCGCCTTCTTTGGGACATGGCCACACGGCTGCCAGTACGTGCCGCCTGTTCAGGGGATACCATAAAAAGGCCCCCCCCCCCCCCCGCTTGCAGCTGTCTTTGGAAACATGGTTCGCCCGGCCCTCGAAGTGCAATCCAAAACCGCGGGCCAGAGATGCAAAGAGACTTCCGGGTCACGTTGACCAGTTGCGCAACAAAGAAGCAACATGTCTGGGCCCGTGTCAGTTTCGAGCGCTTGGTGAACATCAAACATCAAACATATGCAAAGAGAATGCAACCACCCACCGGTTTGGAGGCCTTCGCCATGACTAGCTGAAGCTTCAAGCCCTTGTTTCACCCGCTGGGGCACACATGGCATGAGGGTACTTCTTCACGGGTCCCTCTATGGACGAAATCCTGCACCGGGTGGTCGATATTTGTCCCAGAAGAGGCTTTCGTCCATCCATACGATAAATCCAACTTTCTCAAAGTCTAAAAGTCGGAAAACCGTATGGCCCGCTGGGGGACAACAAATCAAACCCAACGGGAACCCCACAAATGGCTTCGGTGTTCCTCTCGGTTTCCCTAAAACCAACCAAAAAAGAGGGGTTCCCCTAAAGGCACGCACCTCGGTGGTCTGAGTCTGCACCTCCAAACGAAAGCAACCAACACAAAGAAAAAAGCCACGAACGAAAGCCACGAGCGCGTTTTTCCTGTATGTGTCTTAGCACACGTTCGAAGGGACTGTTCTTCATGGAGCAGCCGATCTGCTGCATCACACTGGGACCTGCTTCGTCCTGAAACGAAGCCCGGAGAACGGCTGCCACGCATCGGGGAGAAAGGGCCAAAAATCGATCGTGTTCTGAGACACGGGAATTCAAAGATGTCTTGGTGTGGCTTTGAGGGAAACCCCTTTTTTTTGTTTGGGGAAGCCAAGAGGAAAGACCGGAGCCATTTCTGGGGCTCCCAAGTGAAAGAACCCATGTGTGTGTTCCACGATGCAAAGAATGCGTTTGAGGGAATCCGGACCTTTTCTGGGTGACTTCTCCCATCCGCGAGGCAAATTGTAGCACACGCCCGTATTTTTCAAAGACACATCAAAGGATTTGTCAGCCTGAAGATGCTTGGCAAGGGTCATCCACATCTCCATTGCTACCAACTAAGATGTCGTGCACTAGCGATGGGTAGCGTTTGATTTGCCCTCAAGAGATAAGGCTGGTTGTCCAACTAAACATTTCAACTCAGGGCAAACCAACTCAACATCCACCTGTACCAATGATTGGCACCAACCCGAGCATCCCCACAAGGCAATGATTTTCAATGTCCACCCCCAAAGATGTGGGCATGGCTCCCCTGGAAAATGATGATCCTGAAAGGATGGATTGGTTTCCATCGGGACCTTCCGTGATTTGCAATTGTTCGTGTCTGATTCTCTTGTTTCTTTTTAGTTGGGGTTCATCACGTTTGGAGGGCAACCTCCCCCAATTCATAAAACCTGTTTATTCATCAGGGGTCAACATTACTAGCCACTTAGCTAAGTCCTGGACCATCCAAGCAGTACACACAGAGCGGTGCCAGCTGATTCGAAAGCCCAACATCCTGCATCCCCTAGTATGCTGCGCCACACCCGTGCTACCTGCCCGATTGGATGTTCAACCAACATCAGGTAGGTTACAACCATGCTTTCAAACGCGTGAACTGGGACCCGGTTGGTCCTGGTAAAGCCATGGTAGCAATCCACTTACGAAAGGGAGTTTGAAGAAGTAACTGTTGAGGTGAAGGTTGGTCGCACGGTTGCATGTCATTGCATGTCGTCCTAGAATTAAGTCTTGGAACCTGAAAATGAGTCATGTTCACCCTGAATGCAGCTGACAAAGGGTCCTCAAAAAGCCACACCTCCGCGATATGGAGCAAGCGAAACAGTCCCCACGCGAGAAAAGTTGGTGCGGTGTTTCAGAAAGACCCTGGATCTAAGCTAAAAGCGAGGCATACCACTTCTAGCCAGCATATGAAGGAGATTCTACCGCAACCACCAGCCTCATTCTGGTAGATGGCGAAGGCGCACACAAAGAGCACCTCGTTTGGGTACACCGTCCGCTCCAGTGTCTCCACAAACTCCTTCCGGGAAGCATCTTGCGCTTCGCTTGTGGTAGTTTCCCTGGACGCAGATTTATGCTGGGCTTGCCCGATATATGTTAAAGCGTGTTATGCATATATATATATATACATACATATATTTATATAGACATGATACATACAGACAAAATCAACTGTTCCCTATACAAAACACCCATGAACAGCCGCTCGCTGACGTGTTCTACCCATGTCTAGCTCGTTGTGAGTTGCAACCAAGGTGCCCTACATTCCCCGCTTCAACATCACCATCGGAAGCGGGCCATCATGGCTGTCTAAATCCATGACCATACCCCGCTGGCACGCGACCTCTGGAAACAGCTCACTCATGCGGAAGGCCTAAAAGCGAAGATCCGAATAGAGGATATTCCTTTCTGGCCTGTCAATCTCCTAATCTCAACCATGAAGGGTTCACTTCGTTCCCTAAATGCTCCAAGTAGGGAACCAGTCTTGCGGGGGTTGTGATAGTGGTTCCCCTACGTCACCCAACCAAGAGGAAACTCATTTCACAATGGCCCTATGAGTGATCTTTAAATCAGCTGGTTCAAACGGAAATATCGGGACTACTCCAAAGCACGTTCCACCAGCTCGTCGTTCTCCGCTTGTTCGAACACGAGAAACAAGTCTTCGGGTTGGGGCGGAATTTCAGCCCCGGCCTCCGCGTTCTCATTCCAGGAGTGGGACACGAGGACTTCCACTTCCAGTGGCATGGCGTGGTTGATCTTGAGGGCGTAGCCTCGGATGCTCAACCTTGCGTCAGAGAGGTGGGAAGTCATAACTATAGTTTAAAATGGGTAACTGGGGTTAGCCCCCCTTTTGTCCCGTGTCACAACCTGGTGGGGCAACTGGGGACTAATTAGTCCCCGTCTAATGGTCATAATCACAGTGTTTGCGCACCAATTTGAAGCCCCGGGGGACTCAGACGATCGTTTTTGAACCTCAAAACCAGGAGGTAGGGAAGGAGGTAGAGAGAGTCACAGAACAGGGTCAAGACAGGGTCCCTGCTTTGTTCACAATTTAGCCCAAGCCCCAACCCCCACTCGAATCAGAACCAAATCCGGTATTCAAGAAGTCTATCCAACACCCATGGTGAAGAATAAAACAAATGGAACACTGCATCTACCCAGGTCTCAATTGGGTGTTTCGCCAAGTTAGTAAGTAGCCAAACACCTGGGTTACAACCCACTGACAACATCACCCCAAAGGGTCCAACAATGTTTCAACAGCCACAGTCAGACCTGGGCTAATGTGCGGCAAGAAGCCTGTTTGGAAACCTGGCGAGACGTGGTCCCGCCTTTCGACATGGTTGTGGAAAATAATCCTTTCCAGGAAACAAAAAAGCGCAACCATGCACCTAGTCACGGGTCTACGGAGGTGTCCTTTAGAAAGGTACCATGCCAACAAAAAAAGCCGCCGATGGCAGATGGGTCGCCCACGCCATCACCAGCGGTGCGCGGCAGGATGTGCTTCTTCACCATGTCCCGCACCGAGTTGTCCTGGTGCCAGTCGGCATCCTCCTGGCCGCTGAGCAAGCGGGATGCATTTTTTTGACCGGCCATGGATGATGCAGCCAAGCCGTCTATAGGGAGCCGGAGCACTCCCAACATCATTGGTTGCTGAGGAATTCGCCCACTTAGCGGGTATTGTTGAGGATGACACTGCCCCACTCCATACACGAATTCACTCGGACTTGCGAAGATTAAAGTGTCCGATTTTGTGTGTGCGACATCCTCCTCGTAACGTTGAGCCGGATTAACCCACCTGATCCGGATCAGAGCTCCCATGTTTTTGTGTGGGAGATTTAGGTCCTAGGTCCTCCCCGCATGTTCCCCTCCTGAGTTTGGCCAACAAAAAGCTTGAGCTCTTCCAGCCTTCGCTCAAATGATGAGCAAACCTACCAACGAAACGTGTTTCAAGCTGGCCAGCTCGGCAGGCAGCGCACGGCTTGACGCCATCCCATCCGTCGCCCGGACGTCGCTCCTTGCAGTCGTCCATGAGCTCGCGGATTTGCTGCATGGTCATGCCCCAGTGCTCAGGCCACACCTCCACAGTCTCGCCATTCCTAGGACCCGTCCCGTTGGACCAAGGGGCCCATTTCGAACCCGCCGGTTGTTTTCCGCTCTTTGGTGGGTCAAAGGCACAAAGAAGGGGCTTTGTAGGATCCTCCAGAAATGACATTCGGCAATGCGGCCCTTTTTGGCCTGAATACACGATCAGGCTACGGGACCCTTAAAAGCCTATTCTAAATACGAGGCCATGAAACGCAGTTTTTGGGGGATCCTAATATTTTTTTGGTTGAGCCTTCAAGACCTGATGTCTAGGTCAAAAGGCCTACTTGAATGTTGGACCTGCTTGAGGCGCGCACTAACCCGGGGCGACCAACGCAAACGTCCCTTCAGGAAGTGTTTGGAATTGTCAAGGGAACAACTCCCCCACCCCCCTCCCCCCATCCCCCCCTACCACCAGCCCAAGGCTCCGAATCTCAGCCATTCTGGTGGAAAGGGGCCCTAATGATTGGCCCTGAAGACAAGACAGGTACCGGACAAGCCCGGCACAACCCCATAGACCTTCTCCTGGGTGGAATCGCTCGAAAGGTTTCACATGTGAATGAAAACCTATGCCGCTGGCTTGCGTCCACGCAAACAATCTAACTACGAAGTAGCAGCAAGATCTTCCAAATACAAAACCCGTTGCGGGCACAACCCAAGAAACCCTAGATCATGCAACGATGCATTCCAAGTCTCCTCACGATTCGCTGAGGACATGCGCGCAAGGATCGCTGCCCGCCAACTTCCTGCAGCATCACATCCATTGGTGTCTGGAGGCTTTCACAACCAAGATCTTAGACTTTCAGACGAACCTACCAAGGAATCTGGCTCTTCGTTTCTTTCGATGGGTCTCCCATCGAATGTACCAACTGGACCATTTTTTAAACACCCCTGGCGATTCCAACCAAAGTCCTTACCAGGGCATGCCATGTTCCGGCTTCAGCCCCCATAAAGAGTCAAAGGCGAATGCCTACCACAGGGTTCTGGGAGCTTCCCGGTTCGGAGGGCAAGATTTCGTGCGGGGCAAGGGAGTTCTTGAGGTTCCGTGCTTCAGAAAGGACCATCCCCTTGCGAGCCAATCGACCTTGATTCCCTTGATACTTGAAGTTGGCAATATTGTAGGGGCCTAATAATTACTCGACTCCAGAAATCATGACTAAAGTTGCTTCAAAAGTACCTCACAACCCCATTCTAACTTGTTGGACCACATAGTAGTTGCAACTGGGATCCCCCCCATAATGATAACGTACCACCTGGGCAGTGGGATCCTCATGGTCGTGTTTTCTTTTCACGGATTCCCAACCTCTGAATGGAAGCCCGGAGGATTCGGTTCACAGGAAAGCGGCGCGCCTCTGAGAGGGGAGGCTCCTGGAAGGGAGCAAGCGTGCGGGGGAAACCTCCAGTTCATCAGTGCCCCATGCAAGAAGGGACCCGGATCACTTTTGGGGAAAACATCATTGAAAACATCCGGTTTGGGTTGGTAGTTTTGAGATAGGAGTATCTTCCCATCTAGCCTCAACCAGAACCGCGGGATCGAAAAACAGAAATGGGAAAACTGATCCCTT